GTAGGGTGTTGCTACTGTAAGCAAAACCACGGGATCTGGCGAGGGATATATTCTCACCATGTTTTTTGTTGATTCAAATTGGGTCTTTCTTTAATGATACATAGTGTTAACATGTACAAGTCTTACAAAGAATGTTCTAAATGTTATCCATAATTCATTTTTCTGTTTTTATTCTTTGAAGGTGAAGAAGATCAGAATGAAATAATTACTGAAAGTTCTGCATTTGTTAAAGGGGAACCTCCACAAGAAGTGAGTAATCCCCCTAAAGTTGACTCAGAGGTTGAAGTCCTTCATGAAAATGTTACAAAACAAATAATTAAGGAAGGTCATGGTCAAAAGCCTACCAAATATTCAACATGTTTTTGTAAGTACTGCAGTTCAATTACAGTTTTGCGCTGGCATACTTGTTCATTCCAGAGTTTGAAAAATCCATTATTCATTTCTTGAATAATATAGGAGCATAGTGCTCGATATTGTCATGCTATTTCATACCTGGATGTGCTTATATTTCCATTATGGCATCATGTACATAGGTCGTGGCATTAAATCTTTGGGTTTACAGAAAGTTGCACTCCTTAATTGTTGGTGAAACTTGATTTTTTAAAGACTTGCATCTACGGTCATTTCAAAATTTATCCAAGTGCGACTATTTTACTCTATATTGTTGATGAGCTTCTGTTATTTTTTGATGTTATCTGATTGCTTATATCTCATTTTATTAGTTAAGTGAACTGCTAGGGTGAGGCTAAGAATGAGACTAGTTACCCTCAGTAATAGATAGTAAATAGAGGTGTGTGATCTCTGAACTCTGAAGTTTTGTCTGTGATATGCCATATGTCATCTAACAAAAACGTATCAAAGGCTAAGCCAGCTTTCACCAAATATAGTATGTGTTGGGTGTTGATGTATTTTAGGAGGTGCATGCTAGAGTTCCTTTGCAAAATTATGGTTAAATAGTATGATGTCAGATTCATCCTAGAAATTGATCATGTTTACCTAGGTAGCTACATAAACATTGCTGTAATATCAAAATATAACATATTTGGACATCAAGTGCTGCTTAACCATTAAAAGTACTTATTTGCAGAGTCTAGGTAAGGATAAAAGCAGTGATGGGCTGAATTACGTTGAGCATCTTGTCTTCTTGTATTTATTCTTATCCACGCCTTAACATGCATTTCTTCCATAGGTTTTGTCTTTTCCTGCTTGTCAAATTCATGAATCTAATCTAGATGGCATGTGATGGTAGTTCACTACAGAGCATGGACAGAGACCACACAGCACAAGTTTGAAGACACATGGGATGAGCAACGACCCATTGAAATGATATTAGGAAAAGGTATCTTCTTGGTCAACATAAAACCTATGTGCTCTCTTTTCTCCACTGGTCAACAGCATACGTGCATCAAGACGCGTAGATTTTGGCTGTGTGAGATTGTTCTTATTGTGGAAATTCCCATATTAATTAGGAATTATTTGTTTCCTTTTTCCTCTTATTTGTTTCTCCTATTTATATGTAAATAGTCAGAGATAGAGATAGGTTTTTATTTTGATTTTATTCTCCCCTTATTCCATGCCTGAATAGGTTCTTACTGCTTAGTCATTTGTGTTTGCCCTGTATATGTTTTAATCATATCGGTCAATGAAATATACATCCTTTTGGAACTCCACTTGCACTTTGTTGATGTTTGTATCTTATTTTCTTGTGTGTTGATAACTTTCTGGATATGTGATGTCCAATAGTGTGGTCATCTTCTGGTATTTAGGCATATTAAGAAATGAAAATAAGTTGCCCTAAATGATGGGATGATTTGGGTAATTTCAAAATATTTTAGTTTGTACAATTTGGGAATGTAACTAACCCCACCTAGTAGGATAAAACTTCTTGTTATTGTTGTTGTGCAATTTGGGAAGGACTATGCATGATAGTTCTGGAAGTGATAATATTTTGCTGCTCTATGAAACCTCCCTTAAGGGTATAGTTAGAATGTGCCAAAGACAAATGACTACAAATCCCTACAAACCTCCCTACTACCTTTTACTCATTCCTCCAGCCTAAAAAAGTTCTCTCTTTAATTGCTTTCTAATGTTTGTGATATTTTATTGGCAATCTCTAGTTTCCAAGTGCAATAATGTGCCAATACAATATTAAATTTTGATGGAATTGGTGTGCAACAGAAAAGAAAGAGATGACCGGCTTGGCTATTGGTGTGGCCAGCATGAAAGCTGGAGAGCGTGCCTTACTGCGTGTGGGCTGGGAATTAGGATATGGAAAGGAAGGCAGCTTTTCTTTTCCAAATGTTCCACCTATGGCAGATTTAGTTTATGAAGTTGAGCTCAGAGGCTTTGATGAAACAAAAGAAGTAAGTTGCTTTAGAATTGTTATATGGCGTCAGGCTTCATCAAAATGCTAATAGCTTGTAACTTTGCAGGGGAAACCTCGTAGTGATATGACCGTTGAGGAAAGGATTGGTGTGGCAGACCGAAGAAAAATGGATGGAAATGCTTTGTTTAAAGAGGACAAACTGGAGGAGGCTATGCAACAGTACGAAATGGTTACACACACTTCCTTTGCTCTTCAACTTCATTTTCTTCTTTCTTTTCTGTGTTGTAACAGGTCAATTATTTCTTGTCAGGCCATAGCATATATGGGAGATGACTTCATGTTTCAGTTGTTTGGGAAGTATAGGGATATGGCTTTGGCTGTAAAGAATCCTTGCCACCTTAACATGGCTGCATGTTTGATTAAGCTGAACCGTTTCGATGAGGCCATAGGACAATGTAGCCTTGTAAGTATATGATAATACAAGTCTATAATAGACCCCAAGTTATCAAGTGATTTTTGCTTGCCTTTCTTCTGACACGTTTTTTTCCCCCTCTTGGATATCATGTTACTTGCTTGGGATTTCAATTAACATTATATTTCAGTTCATTTCCCATGTTGTGGGCAGTGATTGGAATATGACCTTTAAAAGCCACGATGAACTCTGATAATGTTAACAATGGCAAGAGAGTAATTTTGGCTGCCAAGTTAGCCTGAGTGATGTTATATAAACAAAGCTCTTTTCACAAATGCAGAAGTGGCTATATCCTAGTTTGACTGGTCCCACCTAAATTCAGTTTTGATAGAGCCAGTTGCATTTAGATAAAGCTAGTAAGTCTGCTGGGGTTTCTCTGGAAAAGTGTATTCTGATGCAAATTGAATTTAACAATCCTGTCAAAAGGAAGGATTTCTCTCTTTGCATACATATATGTAGGTCATGGTTCAATGAATTTTGTTTGATTAGATAATATTGACCCTGCAGGTGTTGAGTGAGGATGAAAACAATGTGAAGGCATTATTTAGACGCGGTAAGGCTAGGGCAGCACTTGGCCAAACAGATGCTGCCAGGGAGGATTTTCTGAAAGCAAAAAAGCATGCCCCAGAGGATAAAGCAATTGCAAAAGAATTGAGATTGCTTGCCGAACATGACAAGGCTCTTTATCAAAAGCAAAAAGAGATATATAAAGGAATGTTTGGACCAAGGCCTGATCCAAAACCTGGGCGAAGGAATTTTCTGATTCTTATTTGGCAGTGGTTGCTGGCAGCACTCCATCGCCTCATTACTATCTTCAAGCGTGAAAGGCAAAAATCTGACTAATCAAAGCTGTTGAATAAACTGAAGAATGGTGACTGACAATGGATGGAGTTGATTCTATAGAGTCCAAGCCTTGTGCCTATGGTAATATTTAGGTGTTAAAGGTTCAAATCTTCGGGGTAGGATGGTCATGTTTGTTTAGAGTTCTTTCAAAATACAATTTACAAGTCATGAACTCTGGTTTGAGAATGTATGGACAAGAATCTTAATGAAATCCAATCAAACTACTGGTTGGAATTTATCTCTTCCATAGCTAAGGCTTTACTTTAAATTGCTGTTATATGGGTAATGCTTTAGTCACAGGTCGCATAGTTGCTCTTAAGTGCAGCTGTTACCATTCAAATAATTTATAAAACATAAAGTGCCCCGTATATATCATCCTTTGGTCTCACTCTGCCCATTTAGTTTGGTTTCATACCTTTACTCTTCCGGTCACCTTTTCTACCAAAAGTGTTAGGGAAACTTGTTGAGAAGTCCCACGGAAAGATTTCAATTATCTTAAAGATTCATAAAATGTATAAATTATTGTTAAGTCTTAAATCTTATACAATTTGAGCAAAGAAAAACCACAATTTGATATTAAACTCATATTAAGTTGTCTTTTTTTTTTTTTGTAATTACACAGGGTTTGAGATTTGAATATATTTTATATATTTTTTGAGATTTTTTATAATTAAAATCTTTATAAGGGACTTTGGAGTGATTTTTTCAAAATGTTAGGTTTCTCTCAAAGTAAAGTGAGATTCTTTTCTTGATCTGATGAATATCCTCAGTAATTTTCTGGTAAAAGCCAGCATGTTTACCTCTCTTTTGTTATTTTTAAAGAAATTCAAATCAAATTTAAAATTTAAAAATAAATTAAAATTAAGAAAAAAAATAAAATAGGGAGAAGCACATTTAAAAACTTGACAAAAGATCTATTCGCAGATAATGATCAATATAAAATAAGTTGATTATTATTATTAAAATAAAAATACAAACTTGTTTTTTTTTTTTTAATACGCACGTTACTAGTCTTTGCCTGTAAATAAATTTTTTATGTGTGATTCTCCCAAAAACCAAAAAAAAAAAAAACCCCGGTTTTGGTAAGAGCTATTGTAATTATGTTCGACGCTGCTTAAATTTGATTAAGTCAGTTTATGTTAAAAAAATTAAATAAAATATCTGAGCTGTAAGATTCATAGATTAACAATGAATAGAGAAGGAATAGAACAGAGAAACAGAATCCAAATAACTGTTTACTTAGGCCACTGAGAGATCCTTGGTTATTAAAATAGATAAATTAAATCACTGTCTCTCTCTGTGTGTCTGTGAGTTTTGTGGGCGATCAAACCGTGAAGAATTGAAACTGCAACAAGTATGTATAGCAGCAAAAGGGAATAAATAAGATCATATTTCTTCCTTCCTGAGATAGAAAATGACTTCGAATCTGATTATAAAGATAAAGAAGCAACAACTAAACTACCATGGTTGTTTGGGGATGGAAGTCCAAGCACAATAAGCACAGACTAGCTTCTGGGAAATATACACATAAACAGCAAAAGATAAACTCATAAGCAACAAGTCTTTCCAATCACCCTTCTGCTGTGGGCTCAGATTCTGCTTCACCCTCTTCCCAAGATTCTCAAAACTGTTCAACAGTTTCAGAAACCCCAATTTCTCTCCCAATCCCATTATTTTCTTCTCTTGAGAATTTGATTCATTCACAGGTCCTCTGCTCTGGTAGGATTGTAGAATCAGAATCCTGGCGCTCTTTCTGCTTCTGAGTTCAGTTATGGGTCCCCCTCTGGTGTGGTAGTGATAACCCACAGGAAGAGCCGCCATGTTTGGAAAAGAAGAAACCTCAAACTTTCAGGTCAATAGAGGCAAGAATTATGAGCTGGTTGGAAGAAGAAGTTATTAAGAGAATTTGAGTGTTAATTAGTGGGGAAGAAGAAAGGCTATTCAACTTTTGTGTGACTGAGTAATCCGTTGGAATCAGAAGATATTTCTTCAAAGAGCTTTATGGATAAGGGACGTGGGAAGGAAGTCTTGTGTGGACTCTGGAGTACATACACGAGAGGTTGCGTTTGGCGTGTGGGATGAAGTTACTTTTTTTGTTTTTTGGGCGAAAGTGATAAAATTATTTTTTTATTAAAAAGTGAGAGAATTATTATTAACAAGTTTATACTTTGAATAACAACTCATCTTGCATTAACAGTTCAGGTAAATGTTTGGAAATTAATTTTATATTATATAGAATATTTGTTCTTAGCAAAACAATAAATATCAAAGGTGTGAGTCTCATAAATGAAAAACAACAAAAGAGTGTTTCTGATTAATAAGAATATAATGTAAAGTATAAAGTCACAATAATCACAACTTAAAAAACTGAAAATAATTCTAAGTTTAAATCATGAATACGTAGTAAATAATTTGGGAAAGTAAAAATGGGTTCGGTGAATACTGATATGATGTTGTCGTTTCTTGCTCTCGATCCTTGCGATCCTCTAGTTTTTTTATAAGCATTCAATCAATACTGTTGTATTCATAATATTTGAACTTCGTTCGCAAAATATCAATGACCATTTGACACAACCTTGTGAGATTTGTGGCACATAAAATGATAATGCTATATCCACTCAATAGTCTATATCGTCCAATTGCCCCAAGTTTTTAGGTTTACATTAAGCTCGTGTGTGGCATGATTGTTCTCTAGGAAACAAATCAGGCTATGCACCCTGGGCTAATCGTGTCATTTTGTCTAGCTCCTCCTTCTTGTCTTTGGGCTCATGCTTCATTTTAAGCCTAAAAAATATTATTTTATTTAGTATAATATTAGTAACTTTTCAATACTCAAGAAATAAGTTGTAAAAAATTGAATAAGTTAATTTTTAAAAATTGACAACTTGTTTAATGAAAATTGAAAAGTCATGTTCAAATACTAACAATTTATTGTTTGGATATTAAGAACAACATATTCAAAGTTAACAACCCATGCAAATACTTGAAAACTCAATTTATAATATATATTAATTTATTTAGCAAAATATTAATAACTTATCAATATTTAAAGAATAAATAATATTTAAAAATTAATAACTTATTTTGTGAATATTGACAAGTCATGTTCAAATATTGATATGTTATTGTTAAGATATTAATAATAACTCATGTAGAATTGTCAATAACTTATATAAATGCTTGAAAACAAAAGATGGGTTTTAAGGGATTGGAAATGTAATTGGGACTAGGAGTGAGGGTGGGAATAAATTTTAAAAAGCTTGTTTAATATAATATGGTAATGCTCAAATAATTTTCATTTAATATATATGATTATAATAGTAAAAGAATATGATACCTTGCTAAATAAAAGGTATTCAGTGTCCTGTGCAAAAAAAAAATCAAATATGCCATAGTCATTCATCCTTTAGGCTTTGTTTGGTTAGAAGTGAGGGGAGGTGAGGGGAAGAGGAGGGGAGGGGGAGGAGAGGTATAAAATCTCACTTTACTAAATATAATTAACAATAAAATTCATGATAATCAAAGGATTAGCTCATTAAGTAGATTACCAAGTTTTAATTCAAAATCAAGAAATCCCAAGTTTTCTTAATCAACATAAGTTTAAATCAATCATAATTTCTTATATCAAAGTAAAAATAAATTACAAAAGCATGGAATATCTCGAAAGAGTGAAAGAAATCAAAAACAATTGAAAAACAACTCATTTGCTGTGAAACAAGGCAATGCGCTATAGCTTGTGTACGCTACATCATGATGTGTTGCTCTGTGTGTCACGCTCTACGACTCAGGCATGTTGCACGTAAATGATCGCAGAATCAGGGAACTTTTAATGCGTCTCGATTCTCTATCCGACATCCAAATGACTTGATCTAAGTATCTACGGAAAGCTCTTTTCATAAACTAGTTAATGACATGATTTTTACTTTCAAAACAAGTCACACCAAAAAGTTGGACACTCAAACACATTTTTATCACTTTTTATAACTTTCACACAAAAAGGGTGTCTAAAACCCACAACAAGTACTAAAAGCCTTTTCTAACATCTGGACCATATTCATTGAATCTAAAACTGTCAATACAACACGTCACATACACTTAAATTTCAGTATAGTATAAAATTACTCCTTAACCCCTTCTTCACTAAAAATAAAAAGGGGAGGCAATTTCCATTGCATTGTATTGAAAACCATTGTAACATATTTAAAACATCATTTTTATACTTGCATTAGTATTTTGACCTTATAAACATATATATTTCTCCATACACAAATACTCAGGGTCCAAAATACAATTCAAACCTTTACAACAATAGAATAGCGCAAGTGCGATGATATGCAAACTAAAATTGGCAATCATATTCCATTACACAAAATAAATATAAACTAGAGGCATACATTAAAAATGAACTAATTCCTAGTCTCTTGAGCCTTCTTCCTCTCTATACCAAAGCTAGAGCCTGTAAAGTGTTAACTGAAAGGGGTGAGTCTAGCCACTCAATAATGAAGGTAAAACTTACCCTATACAATTATATATCAATTATAAATCAAATGCATACATATGAAATTAAGTATTTAAAACATGCTTTAACACATATTATAACTTATTAATCCAATTAATACGTTTTCATCTCACAAATACTAGGTATATAATCACAAGACACTCAGATATGTAGTCATGACCCGCCACAAAACGCGACTTACCACAACTCAAAAACATGTGACACGTCATATATTTATATAAACAACAATCAACCAACCTTACACTCTTCTTATTTTCTCATACTGAAACTGCGGGCTATAACACTAAATAAGGCTCCATCCGTGTGACTGGACTATCCAAGCTCATTAATCATGAGGTATAACTCAACTAAAGATCACATGACTCATTCTCAAACCACAGCTTCCCCCACTCTCGAATCTCTGAGATGTCTCATATCCTAAGCTATTATCCTCATTGAACTGGTGGAGAAAATTAGGTTCTAGTCTCTCGATAAATTATGGGATAAGACTGTACCCCCATGCACCGAAGGGCATCCTAAAATACCATATGAATTTTATCTACTCTCAATCCCTAGGTGAACTCCCATCCATTGATCATGCCATATATGATGCTAACTCATTTTCACATTTCAATTATTTAATATCAAGTCAACACATTGGGCTCACGATCAAATGCTACCCAAGTGAGCATCAATTCTTATTTTCACTTATATCACATAAAACCTATCATTTTTAATCTCATATATTCATCTCATCAATCTCATTATCAATTACTCATCTCAAACCATATTATAAAATTGACAATCATTTCACAAGCATTTTTCACATGTTTCATACTCGTAAAAGCAATTATATAATTATCAATTTTATTGCATATTACACCATTCACAAATCACAATTTGTATGTTTAACACATAATTCACCTCATATTATAATTAATAAATACTACCTAAAATAAGGTTCCCCTGGTTACCTCAAACCTTTGAAAGATTAAAGATTTATCTCTCAATCTAATAGCTTTCAAGTTTGAATTCCCAAGCCAAATAGATGTCCAAGAGCTTAATCTACAATCAACCAAGTTAAATTCCAACAACAATGTCAATCACACACAATTCACAAACTCACTTTCTATCTCTATCTCACCCAATACGCACATTGCTTATATTTAAGCCTACCCATTAGATTTATTATCTATCTTTAACATTATATAGCTTCACTGAATACCTACATTGCCATTAATACCTCAACAACCATAATAATGACAAATTTAATGTCCTTTTTGGATATTAATGGAACTCACCATCCAATAACCACTAAAAATTATTAATACTAGGTTTAAATACTCTAAAAAACTCTCATTAACTCTATTTGAGTTAATAAATTCGAACCCACAACCTATATGAATTGAAATTATCATCCTCATTCAAACCCTAAGTCAAATCCTTAAGAAAATAGAAGCAAAAAGGAGAAAAGGGTTTAGGAATATTATCTTGAATGATTTGAAGCTTAAAACCCTCTCAAATCCTCCCTTATATCGTGCCCTAACAGAGCAAATACAAGTTTCCATCCATTTCCTTTTCTTTCCCTTCTGTTTTTCACATCAGTTCGCGACTTATTTTTGCAGAATTTGCTCCGTGTGCCATGACACATATCCCCACGCCGCAGCATATGGTATAGAGAAATAACTCTTACCTTGTGCGTTGCAACGCACCACACACAAGCTATGGCATATGGCACAGAAGCTTTTCAACTTGTTTTTCTTTGCTTTTTATCTCCAAGTGACCCAATTTTACTTTAGGCCTAAATTATACCTGAAATTTTAACTAAAAACACTTATTATTCTTCTTTATCCACAAACCACGTCACTTACTTAATTATTATAATCAAGCTTAATAAATCAGGAAATTAAAAATCAAGATATTACAGAAAGGGAGGGGGAATTCCTCCAATTTTGAAGGGAGAAAAATTTTTCCCTCCCCTCCCCTCCAACCAAACACTACCTTAGATTTGTCATGAAAAATAGGAGGATTTGGAAAGGCCACAGTCCCTTGACTTTTTAATTTTTTTTGTTAATAATTGGGCTCCTAAATTAGCACGTTATCCTTAAGATAATAGATGAAAATCTCATTCCAACTGTACATGTAATCTTTTATAGTATAACTATTTCAGTAATTTGAAAATATAGTTATCATATGATCTACTTATTTTCAATAAGATAATGCTATACATGTTTTCAAAGCATTAATGTCACTTGATTTTGATTTCATTTATATTAGATGAAAGAAATTATGAGAGTGATTACCAACAAACTTTGTCAAGCATTATAACAAAAAGATATAATTGACATAAAGATTTTTTAACAATTGAGCATTATTACCATATTGATAAATTTATTCACCATAATTTTCAATTAAATTAAATAGAAAATTCAATAACTAATTAATATAACTTCTTACATTGATCATAATTTTAAATACCAATGATGCATTTAAATCATTCAATGCTTGTATGGAAGAT